AAGGAGGAGAAGCGTGTGTGATTGGGTGGGAGGGGGCAGGGGTTGCCTTTTCGCACGCAAAGGGGCGAGGGAATACTTAGTCCGTAGGCCTCATGCCTCTGCCGTGTCCTCTGCAACCTGCATTTGCTTTTGTGGCTTCGCTCTCACATCCGACAGAAAAGGAGAATGTCAACCAAGTATGAAAACTCGCTCTCCCGGTCACATGACGTATCTTCCATTCCTCCCTTCTCGCCCGTGTGCTGTTGTTCCTGTGCTTGTGTCGTAACGCCTGGCATTTTCGGATGCTGCTGCTTATCTCCTTGCCTTCTTCCTGATTCGGTATAGTAGGCGCTGACTTGCCTACAGATACCACAGTTTGGTAGGTCGCATTCCATACATTAGTCAAATTTCGACGCGGCCTGTCAGCTTGACTCGAGCTAATGGGGCGGACCTCTGAAGCATCATGACACTCTCTGCAGCTTCTATAGGCGCGGAAATCGTCTATAAGCGCAGCGGCCGTGAGCACCAGAACGACACTAATGCCGACGACGCCCCCAAATCCAGGTTCACCACTACCCAAGACAAGCTGTGCAGGCCGGGCCAGGCTAGGTTCTACGTTATACTCGCCATAAAAGACCGCATTGGATTTGACAACTATTGTTAGTGCTAGCAATTTATATCACTTGATAAGGATTGTTTTCTGCGCTTATCCATATAGCGCACGCCGGAGCGATTCGGTGAACCTAGTCACGCTGGGCAGACGAGGCAGACATAGGAATGAGGAGAGATATGCGTCAGGATCAGGCTTGGACGCGACTAGATAACACCCTCTATACTGCTTCCTAGCAGAGACAATAGATTTTTTTCGAGTAACCAGTGCTCCGCAAAGATTCTCGCAGATTCCTATGATCTCCTCAATTAAAGCCTAATATCTCTGGTCTCATCCCCTATCCCGAGTAGCATGGCTCGCGTGTCCTCGGCATGCCGGGAAGAGAATGTTCACGCTAAGCGACTGCGTGGAAAATTTAGTAGTAGTAATTCTAACGAGTCAGGGTAACCTACTTCGAGACTAGAGCTACTCCCTGCGTATTATAGATCAAGGGCGAATTTTAGAAGTAAACTGGAAAGAGGAATTATAGACATAGGAAAGCAAAGACTGGCACTTAATCTAAGCGCTAAGAATAAGCACAATTCCTAGAAGAGTCGTCTAGTCGACGCTTTTCCCGAAGGAGTTACGGATCTAAAAAAGTCAGGGAAATTAGGTGACGTATCATAAAATTAACAGTACTAGATCTATCAGTAAAAGAGTGCTCGTTTTTTGCGCGTGTTTTGTGGAATAGAAAAGGTGCTCTTCTTTATGATTTCAGCTGATTCGCTAACGATCCGTAGTTAAGAGCTTCGCATAGCTTAAGAGATAGGTAATGCTAAGGTATTAACTACGTAATAATGTCCTCGTGTGGACGATAAAGGAGGATTGGATAATTTATCTTTTGAAGCATTACCTCGAATATTTACGTTTGTCCTTGTTTAGGGTAGGTGAAATGTCCACAAGCTGTTCTAGTAAGTCTTGGCACTTGTTAGGAGTCAAGATTCAGGGGTACATATGCAAGGGCAGCTCACGGTTAGCAGGACGTCAGCTACAATAAGAGTATTATCGTGTCGTACCACCCGCTTCTTTAATGTTAATCATTCATAATCATAGGGCATATTCTAACATCCATTATTGTGTCACGAGGTAACCCTTATAGCGAGGCAGAATGCAGGGAATTGCTTTCAAACATTTGAATCTCCATAGTTTGATAGCATTCAAATCGTTCACCCCTAACTTAGTATTGGAAGGGGTAAGTGCGACAAGGCTGAGACGCGAATACAAAGGGGGTCGAGAACAGGGTCGCTCAAGCAGCCATGTGGTCATCGACCCGGAATTGATGTTTCACTCAAACAAGCCCCATTCCGTCGAGCTCCTTGGCGCGTCAAGATCTTGGCTGATGTTTTGCAGCACCGGACAAGTAACACTGCGAGAGCTCTTTGAGACACCAGTCACCTGCCAGGGATTTAGTCGTGGCGGTAGACGAGACATTGCTAGCCTGGCTCACCATTTGGAAAATCTGATACTTTTCGCGTTAGTAGAGCTCGGCACGAGGCTCGCAAACTTTAGAGCGCTCTAGAGTCTACACATTCAGCGGCATATGCCTCTATACCTCATAGTACATCGTTAACAGATGCGAGGCACGGGAAGCTCAGATGACGGGATCGAAATCACTAAGTATTCCAGAACATTCCTTAGTGACTTTACAGAGTAGGCTACAAGTTGTGTCTTCTCTCGTGTCTAACGCTGTTTTCTTTGAAACTCGGGAATCGTGGCTGTGAAGGCCTAGACATAACAGAGGACTCACAGGCATGAAGTGGCACCACGGACTGCCCAATGGCGGGAGACGGACCGTGTTTTTCCCCTGCTAGAATTAATTGAGACAGAAGCTGTAAGTCTGGACTCCATACCACAAACCAAACTCAGGGCCCATGCCACGTTCTGATGAAGAATGAGAGCTGCGTTGAGAGATCAAGGGGTCAAAGTTCATGAGGATCAGTGAATACTCGAACAAGGTTGGCGATCGTGGGGATCCAAGTATAAAGCCGATCGTGTCCCTTCCCTAAGCATACCCCTCTGACTTCTCAACATCAGCACATCCTCACACAGGACCGACACTCATTATTCCAAGCTTCTTTTAGCTCTTCTTCGCTCTTTCTTAACCATGCCTCGCAACATGGAAAAGCCCGGCTGTATGCTGGCCCTCACCGCCCTGGCCTCCTTTGCAGGTTTGGCTTCGGCACAGATTGACTGTGGAGTCAACGAGTGCACTGTGGGTCTTCAATTATGCGGCACTTTGAACCTTTGCGTCCCCCTTATACCTGGGGTCACCTGTGGAGTTGAATCCGACTGCACTGGCCTCCTGTCGGTATGCCTCCTCGGACTATGCGTCGGCGACACCGTTGACGACATCACCTGCGGCGATGACGCCGATTGTCCCGAAGGTCTCCCTAACTGCACTGGCGGACTCTGCCTCCCGGACACTCCGATCACCTGCGACGAGGATGCCGATTGCCCGGTTCTTCTTCCCACATGCAGTCCTGAGGGCGTGTGCCTCCCCGATACTCCGGCCACCTGCAGCGAGGACGCCGATTGTCCCGAAGGCCTGCCGAACTGCACTGCCGGCGTCTGTATCCCCGATACTCCGGTCACCTGCGATGAGGATGCCGACTGCCCGGATCTTCTTCCCATCTGTAACGACTCTGGAATTTGCGTCCCAGAGACCCCAGTGACTTGCGATGAGGATGCCGACTGCCCGGATCTTCTCCCTATCTGTGGTCCGCTTGGCGTCTGCCTCCCAGAGACCCCAGTGACCTGCGATGAGGATGCCGACTGCCCGGATCTTCTCCCTATCTGTGGTCCGCTTGGCGTCTGCCTCCCAGAGACCCCAGTGACCTGCGATGAGGATGCCGACTGCCCGGATCTTCTCCCTATCTGTGGTCCGCTTGGCGTCTGCCTCCCTGGTGGGCCTACTGTCGGCTGCGGTTCAGACGAGGACTGCACCAACCCAGAACAACCCGTATGCGACCCTGAGTTTGCCATTTGCGTCCCTGGTGGGCCTACAGTCGGCTGCGGTTCAGACGAGGACTGTACCAACCCAGAACAACCCGTATGCGACCCTGAGTTTGCCATTTGCGTCCCTGCCGACGATGATGCAACGACAACAGCCACAGCAGACGCCACGGCTACAGATGATGCAACAGCCACCGGAGACCCCACGAGAACCGACAGCATGACCACAGGACAGACCACACCAACCGAGACTGACGACGGAAATAACACCACACCCGGTACAGCAACACAGACCGATGACTCTGAGACCGGAACCACTGACACCGAGACTGCTGCCCCTACCGAGACCGGCGACAACCCATCTACTGTTGGAAACTTCCGCCTTCTCGGCTGCTACAGCTCCGACGAGGGCTTTCCCGGGTTCTCCGCCGAAGTGACTAATGATGATATGGACCTCGACATCTGCGCCGAGGAGTGCGACGGAGAGAACTATTTCGGAGTCTATCGCAAGTAAGTTGACCCCCCTCCCCACGGTGCCGAACAATCAGCAGCACAGTATCCTGACAATTAAAAAGCCAGTGCTTCTGTGGGACCGACCTCGAAGGCATGATGAGCACCGACATCGACAGCTGTGACATCGCCTGCCCCGGCGACGGCTCCGAGTTTTGCGGTGGCGATATCACCCCTAACCGCCGTCTCCTCAGGCGCCAGGACATCTCCAACAACATTCTCTTGTCCGTTTACGTTGCCATTGGATTCGTCCCCGACGGCGAGGACACTACTGTCACCACCACCTTCGTCTCCACCGTCACCGGTGATGCCGGCCCCGTTGCCACAACTGTTACCACGGCGGTCGTCTGCAGCGGCGGCATCTGTGGTGGCGGTCCTTCCGGCCCTGTGTTCATCTTCAACATTTTCACTTGCCAGGAGTGTGCCGGTGAGGAGGTCTATTTCGCCAATCCCTGCTCATGCGTCGGCGGTGTCGAGTACGTGCCTCACGTCTGCGACGCGACCTCTTGCGCCGGGAAGACTGTGTACAAGCCTGAGGAGAAGCCGTTCGGCGGTTCCAGCCAGATGTACTACCCCACCCCTTGCAACCACGCCGACTGCAGCACTGGCTCCACGACCATGTTCAAGCCTTTCCGCGAGGGCCAGGCGGACTACACAGTTCCCATCAGCCCTGCGGGCTCTGGCGACAACGGCAAGGGCCCCAACGATGGTGGTGTCAAGAGCGGTGACGGCGGCTCCAAAGGCAATGGCGGCGGCTCCAAAGGCAATGGCGGCGGCCCTGGCTCTGGCAACGGTGACGCCGGCACTGGCTCTGACAACGGTGTCGTTGGTGCTGGCGGCCCCGGTAAAGACGGTGAGCCCGTGCTTGTGTCCCTTGGCGACAAGCAAATGGTCACCACTCTTGCCCTCGTCATCCTCTTCCCGGTGGCTGGCGCCCTTGCTGGATGGTTTTAAGTATTTGGAAGGAACGGTGCCCGAGTGTTAGCAGAATAGTTTCTTGGGAGGATGCGAAGGAGCCGGAAACATGGGCTTTGGCTGTTTACACTAGATAGAACAAAAAAGGGAATATTGCTGGTTTATTTCACTCTATGCACTGCATAGATTCTTAGTCATCCCGCGTTACAGTCTTAACCCAATCGTCGGCACTAGGCACGCGACTCTCCTTCCCGTACATAATTAATACTCGGAACATGCTAGCAGCAGCTAGCTCGGTAAAAGCAGCGGAGATATAGTAGTTCTAGATAAAGATATAGCTATAACTTACTTTTCATTATTAAGCATAAGAAACAGGGTTTTTATTAAGAAAGAAGTAAAGGGTAGTATGTTAGATATATATATAATAGATTAAATCTTTTCTTTTTATTTTTTATTTCTTTTTCTTTCTCCTTATTAATCTCTATCTTTTATACCTTTAAATAATTTTTCTTTCCTATGAATCTACTCTAATTAATTCTCTCATATAAATCTTTATTTTATTACTAATATAAATAAGCGCCTGTATTTTAAGTTAATTACCGCTTGTATAAATAAAAAATCTCTTTATTAGCCGCGTAGGGATCTCCTTCCTAAGTCGAAAAGACATTAGTCGTCCTCGCTAGGCTAAACTTAGGTATAGCTAAGAGGGCGCGGCTTAAGTCGAGAGTTTATATAAGGTAGTTAGTTAGAGATTTTAAATCTAGCCCTTACCCTGAATTACTTAGTTTAGTTTTCCCCCTATTATAGTACTTATTAGTCTAATACTTCGATGACTTTTTAACTTTTTAAATATTAGTATTATAATACTTATTATTATGAATTAAACTTTTTATAATCTTTTGTTAAGTTTAATTTAATTAATTTTTCAATAAAATATTATAATATTCTTATAATTATGAATATAATCTTTTATTTATTACTTTACTTAACCTAAAAGGTTCTTAGATTAGTACGATTTACTTGCCTTATGCTTGGAAGAATATTACTCTTTAATAATTATAATATCTAGAGATAAGTATAGTAATTAGCTTTAATTAATTAAATGATTTATTATATATTTTTTAAAGATCTTATATGTAGTATTTAAATATATAAAATATTTACATTTCTAAGATTATCGCTTATTTAAGATATTTACTTATCTAGGACATTCGCTTATTAATTACGCTACGCTATACTATAATGATTAGGCTTAGAAAGTCAGTAAAATAATCCCGCTATAGTATTCGTAAATAACGTAAAGTAATTAATAAAAAATATTAAGTTACGACTTGTATTATATACGGGCTAATAGCGACGTATATAGTTATATATTTAGTCGAAGTACTCATAACTACTAACTTACTTCTTATTTATTATATGCTTACTACATTTATCGCTACTTTACTTCCTACAGATCCTACTAAAGTTATAATAGCTATTACTCGAAAAGTAATACCCGATCCTTAAATAAAGTTAAGTAATAGTCAGGAACTAGTTTCCCACCCGCATATGCGTTCCAATCGCATTACATTTATTGCAGCTTTCGTCATCGACTCTAAGAACCAAGGCTTAGTTTCCTGCGAGGGCGTTCTTCCGCGCCAGTAATAACCCAATGTCTTTGGTCCAGCTGTGCCCCGCAACGAATTGACCGTATCCCACATACAGGGATGTCGTAACCGTTCCAATGTCAGCGAACTGTACTAACGATCGCTCCTAACAATCGCCCCCACTTTCTCGCAATGCGTCTCAAACATGATTCGGCAATCACTTGATGATTACCGATTGGCTAACGACGCTTGGCTTGCTATACACCAGGAACGGATCTCTGAACATGTCATAGGATTCAGAATCACGTGACCTCGCCCCGTCGAACGGGATATATAACGCCACTCCCTAGACTAAGGACTAGGAGAAATAGACACTAGAAGAGTTCCAGGCTATGGCCTCCGTTAGGGGAGGTACTATAGCTCTTTTATAGGGGATGGCATAGACTATCAAGCGCCTATAGAAGGAGATAGACGCGTTAAAGATACGTCCGAAGACGTAGGCCGCTATTACGGCCCTAAAGAAATAAGTAACGAAAAACCCTAACGGGAAAATAGAAATTATCGTCGCTATTAATAAAGAGGAAAAGGAGCTAAAGCGTCGTAATAGTAACGATACCCTATAGGCGCTCTATAAGGAGGTCGGGAAAGCAGTAAAGAGCGCTCGGCGCCTACTAAACGGAGATTCAGCCCTCCGCGTAGTAGCGGGAAAGGAAGGCGATATCCTTAAAGACTAAGGATAGATCAAGGTAGTATATAGCCGTAAGGCTAAGGTAATTAAAGGAGGACTCCGAGTCCTTATTAAGAGTATCCCGGCTAATAAGCTAGAGGGAATCACCGGGGATAAACTCCGCTCGCGGTATAATACCTTATATTATACGAAGCGCTAGGGGAGAGACGGATATAGTACAGTCCTATATACCATCCTAAATACGGAAATAGCCTCGCGTATAGTTAGAGAGGGAATCGAACTAAGAGGCTATACCTTCTAGTACGAGCCTTTCTACGTAGAGAGTAAAGCTCGGTAATACTATAATTATCTAAGTGTTGTGGGCTAAGCCCTGTTGGAACAACTTGGTAGCTCAGATTGAGTCTATCTAACGATAAGGTAGGAAAAGAGAAAGAGGAGGGAATTTACGGTCCCCCTTTCTTATAAAGACCCTGCGAGGTCTGTGCGTCCTCGTAGGCACGCGTCACGTGCCTGGGTGAACTAGGCCGGGTCTTATACCTAGCCGCTAGTAACTAGTAGAACCGTAACATTACCCCCCCACTAACTCTAGGCCAGCCTGCGGTAGCCTGTCGGGATGGTTACGGGGTGCCTTACCGCTAGGAGTATATCCTAGGTTTTCGTATATAATAATTCGCACTCCGGGTAGATCCGCGGTTTCTCGTAATACCCCGCGCGGTATAGTTACGTCCTATGTATACACTTATTAGCCTCGCGAAATAAGGCTAAGGTAAAGGCAATATAAGCTAACCTCAGATAAATCTAAGGGCGGCTATAATAATATCGGTCGTGGCCTTCCCTACCTATTATTTTTTCTCTCCTTTAGCCTTATTTCTCGATACCGGTATATACTTTTAATAGCCCGCGGTAGCCCCGCGATACCTCCACGACCTCCCTACTAACCCTATGCGTAACGCGCTATAGTTAATTAGCCCGCCGGCCCCCGTGAGTTAATCCTATACGCGCGCAGTCCCTACGCGCCGCCTACGGCCACTCTAAGAGCCTTACTAATATCGTAGAACGATTAAATCTTTATCGCCGCTACCGCCCCTACCGCCGCCGCCGCCGCCCCTAGTAAGGACTCCGAAGCTAGAGCGACGATATATAGCTAACGTATACACATAGTGGCCTCCGGTAAGAAAAGCGCCGCTAAGGGCCCTCGTAGCTCTAAGCGCCCCCGCGCTATATATTATAACACCCTAGGGTACGAGTCTCTAGCGAGGACCGTGCTAACCCGCTAGAATAGTCCTCCTAGTCCCCCCCCCCTTCGCCGCCGTTAGGTAAGAAGCTGGCGCCCCTAGGCCGCCGCCGCAAGCTCTTATATATACGACTACGTAGTAAATACGAGGACTCTGCTTATAAGCTCTAGATACGCCCGCTGCCTCCGCGCCCTCGTAAGCGACCCCTCCGCCGCGCCCTACCGTAGCGTCAAGAGTAAGTTATCCTACGACCTCCGTGCGGCCCGCTAGCTAACTCGCGTAAATTCCGGTAGTAGGAAGTACTATTATTATACTAATATTAAGCACGAGTATATCCTTATAAGTTTTCTATTTCTTAAAAAATCCAGACGCCGCTCCTTGTATTATTAATACTTATATTCCGTAGCTCGCTCCTAAGGCCGTCCCTGCCGCCCTAGAGTTCCTTACCGCTACTACTACCGCTAAAGCCGCGGGCGTCGTTCCGGGCGATAGGTCCGATATAAGTCCGCTATATACCTATAAAGAGAATATATACTAACGGGTTAGGAACTATATAAAAAGTCTACCGCCGGCGAGCGTATGCTACGCGCGCTACGCTAGTATCCTCGGGCCGCCCCTAACGCTACTTATAGCCACACCGGCCTCGAGGCTATAGCTCGCTTTACGAGCACTTTATGAGTTCGCTAAGGCCCCCTTACGAGTTATTGACTAACTTCCTAGAAACTTCCTATCGTCGAGGGTAGTAGCCCTCTTAATAAGGAGCCCGAGACCGAAGAAAAAGAAGCGGCCTTTATAGCCTAGATATAGTATCGTTACGGTTTAGGTATAGAGGACCCCTCGGGGCTGATTTTTATTTTTTAATTTTTTAAGAAAAGTTCTAGTATACGGTCTCCCTACGGTAGCCCGGCTAATCGGCTACGGCCGTGAGGCCTTAAATAAACTTCCTCCCCCCCCCCTATCTATAAGTCGAGTATAAATATCGTAAAATTAGTCGTATCTAGGGCGGAAAGCCTGCGTATTTATTACGACCTCGCCGTATTCTAGCTAGGACTATTATAATAATCCGCGGGTCCGTGAATTTCCTCGAATTTATCGAGCGCGGCTATGTCTTTAACGCTTAATAGCGGCTCCTAGGTTAGTTCGGAATAGCCCTTTTACTTCACTAAGTATTCCTTCTATAACCCGCGGCCTCGCCGCTTAGTTTATACATAAAGGATACGTTTAACTAGCTATTCCTATTATTTATCGACTAAGATCATAGGAGGTTAGGTATCGTCGGTTTATTAACCGGCCACTAGACCCGGGCCCGCTCTTCGTAATTAATCGACATAAAAACACAGGTAGATCGTAAAGGGAACGCTAAGCTCGACTACTAAGGGGCTAATAACCTTAGTAATTTTATATTTATAATATAAGGCGTCGAGCTTCTTACTTAGTCTCGCCGTATAGTAGTTCGCTATTTTTAGCTATACCTTATTACTAACCTCGAACCGTTCGGTAGGTCGCTGGTACGAGTTAGCCGCGTCC